GTTGACCCAGATGGTTGGACTGTTCAGCTCGGGAACTATCTAGGCAACCGGTTCCGTTTTACCCCATACTCGATTTTTGGTAAAAAATCGTTGAATCAGTCAATGATCCAGACCTAGACGGTCGAATTTTTTGCTATCTTTTATTTTTTATTTTTTTTGTTAGAGACCGTCCGTTCGAACTAGATGGTATAACCGTCAAACCGAAAACCGGTGGCCAGAACAGTTCCGTTTCCCGGCCATTTTTTAAAACCATGCTACTGTTACCTATTATATCAGAGATACACATGCCCAAATGTCCCCCTTCCTAGGAGCTTCCCCTCTTATTTTGTTTTGAGTGAATTTCCACTACTTCTGGTAGGTGAGGTACAATTCATACAAGAACCTAGAGGATTGTTTGAACCAATGCAAGGCTGATCTAGTGGTATTGTAAAAGAATTACAAATATTACCAAGAATTATTTTGGAAAGGTAAAAAAAAAATAAAAAATTAATACACAGTTACTCATTTGTACTTTAGTTGCCACATTTGAAAGGGTTTGATGCAAAATTACAAACCAATCCAAACTGTAGCCAAAGTTGGGAAACATCCTGTTTAGACACAAAAATAAATTCTTAAAAGATTATACATAAAACAGAGTAAAAATTGTTCAAAGCCATAGAAAATATATAATATTTAGAAGCAATTTATTCAAATATATAGGTCTCACCGTTACCTTCCCATTCAACAATGATCATGTTATCTCTACATGACTATAACCAAGAAATTTTGAGGGGCTAACTGCTGAGTATATAAATCAAATCAAACTACAGTTCTTATATATTGGTCTCACCATCATCTTCCCATTCAACAATGATCATGTTACCTCTACATGACTATAACCAAGAAATTTTGAGGGGCTAACTGCTGAGTATATAAATCAAATCAAACTACAGTTCTTACATATTGGCCTCACCATCATCTTCCCATTCAACAATGATCACATTACCTCTACATGACTATAACCAAGAAATTTTGAGGGGCTAATTGCTGAGTATATAAATCAAATCAAACTACAGTTCTTATATATTGGTTTCACCATCATCTTCCCATTCAACAATGATCATGTTACCTCTACATGACTATAACCAAGAAATTTTGAGGGCTTTCTAATGCAAACTGTGTTTCCTTGCATTCAAAAGGCCTCCATTGATAGCTTTAGGGTTTGTAATTCATTTTTTTTGTATTGAATCACAGACCTTGTGCCCCCGTAAGGGCCGTAATTCATTTTTTTCATGGGCACAATACAACACTTTTTCAACAACAATCTAATAACTCTTCTCCAAAGATGCTGGAAGCCAATAGCAGGGCTCGAAACCACATCTCAAAATTTATTGGTTATAGTTGGATCATAGTTGGATTTAATTAATTATATTATTATTATTATTTTTTGAAGATATAAAAGTAACACATAAGATACATGGTCAAAAACCATGCGATCAAACTAATTTCAAGTTCAAACTTGTTGAGGTTAAAAATAAATTGGAAATTGAACAACTATACGATTTTTTCACATTGCTTTTGAATGGTGGAGAAAGCTAGGACTTACAAAAAATATACTCTTATAAATGCTATCTAAAAAGAAATATTTTACTAAAAAAATAATAAAAAAAAGTGGCATTCTATATATGTACAGTTTTTATCATATGTAGCAAGACAGACTTTCTAAAGGCCATCAAATAAAGAGATAAAATAATGCCTATTTAGCCATTTAGGTGGTGTTTGATAGATTGCTGAAAAACAAAGTGTAATGTGGCTTGAGACAAATTCACATTGGCTCCCCACAATACATCCCTACCTTACATTGAGAACATCTCCCCATAAGGCCATGACAAGTATAGAGGATATTCTCAATGCACACTGAAATGTGCTGTGGAGCACGTGTGGGGTATACTCTGTGGGGAGCCAACCCAAACTCATTTAAGAATATTCAGTACTCATTTCAAGGAATTCTATAGTTTGTAGTTTGGTTGTGGTTTCAAGTTTCATCAATACAACCCAAGAGAGTGTGTTATAGGTTGTGGTGTGGCTGGATGTGAACAATGATTATGTCTCACAACATATGCAATTCCATCACATGTACTAATGTACATTAGTAGAGAATGAGATGTCCAAATTCCTTTTCTTTCTTGAATGCACTATTTTACAATATCCATAAATTGGGGGAATTGATTGATTCAAAACCATGAATTTGTGGTTCTAGAATACCCACTTCAAAAATACATTTTCTACATGAATTGTGTTCTGCAGCTAGTTAAAAAATTGAAAACCCTACACTACCCAACAGTCCCTCTTGTTATTTTCATGGACAATGGACAAGGTGCCAACTCGTTGGTTGCTAAAGCCTCCTGTTAGTTGTCATGGAGGCTTGGGATCAAATCCTGCTTACACCATGTTCCTCTTAAATGGGCGCCTTACATGCACATCCATCGTGCATTGGAAACATCTCTTGTGAATAATAATTAATAAGTGCAGGAGATGTTCCCCATGCATGATAGGATGTGCTTGTGAGGCGCCAGGTTTGAGGAGCAGATCTGGTCTCGCCTACACCAGGGTTGTGGGGTCATGGGCCACTCCCATTGTGTAGCCCCATGGAACAAAAAAAAAAAAAAAGACCAAGCCAAAATATAAGACTTGTACAGCCCTTTGGAGCTCAAAAGTGATGATAGGAGCCTGGATCTCTTGATTCTTGAAAGAAAAATGTAAGTTGGTTATAAACACGGATTCGATTTCTGCAACCACCAAATTTGGGGAGGGGGGTTATTAGTGGTGCGTATGATCAAATATAAAAAAAAAAAAAAGGTAGGGAGAAGAATACAGAGGCTAGAGATTCCTTTTGAGCTCCAAAGTAAAGGGATGCTTGATTGGATGAAACATTTTTTTTTTTATTCCGATCTATAAAATTGCCACGCCGGCTAATTCTCCAAATCGTCTGAAAAATCTCATTTGGTAAAACCAATTCCTCAAAACCTAAGCAATATGAAAGAAAAGGTGCAGGCTGTTCTTGGGCCTCTTTCCTCCTCTACCTAAGGCTGTTAATTGATTGGATATTGCTCCAATTCAATCCGATGAATACTTTGGACCATTCTGGACTGGTCCATTGGACCATATAAACTGTTCAAATTGATTTTAATTTAGATCGGGTCTAACACTAACCTGGCCCATTGACACCCGTGCTCTTATCTTATCATATGTCAATGGACCAGATATATATTGGTTTCAATGCGACCCAGTCCAATATAAATCGTTACAAATGGATTAGGTTAAATCCAATCTAATAAATATTTTGGACCATTAAGTCTGGGCTGATCCAATTCAATATGTCTTATTGACCAATTCAATTCATTCAAATTGATTTTTGGTTTCGATGGGCCCAGCCAAGCTCGGTCCATTGACACCCTTACCTGTACCCCCTTAGTCGGTTAGTCCTATGAATCTTCATTCATGGATGAGTCTTAGGTGTCGCTTTAGATGTTGCTATTGGATGTTATGAGTAGAAAATAAAGGAGAGAAAGAATTGGTAAGTGTACAATATGCATGATTCTAATTGAGTTATAAAATTTGTCTTTATTTGACCATTTTCATTTATATAAAGTGTCGTGTGTAGAGGTTTTATTGTGTAGATGAGGTCGTGTGCCATAGGTTAGTGGCACTGAAGCTTCATGTTTTTGTTTCAACAATTTTTTTATTAAGTAGATCACATTGTACACCAACTTTGAAGGTTAGTGGCTACTAATTCAAATTTCAAAGTATGTTTTCTGGTTTTGCGAGTTTGTTTAAATATTAATTTCTATAGTCCATTTTTAGTTTTTATGCATTGTGTTTGAATCAAATTTTATAATTGTTTAGTTTTGTATCTCATGTTTTACTTCATAAACAATTCTTATACAATCTTTCTGAATTACGGTGAAAAAGATGACAATAATAAATACGTTATTTGACACAACGGAACCCAAAAGGAAAATGAGGATAATCTTGGGAAAACAGTGATTCATAGTTTGGCGTTTGAGAGTATAGTACCAGTAGTGTCCCTTCTATTTGAATTTTCATTAACAAAAGCCCGTCATTAATAAGGGACCCTTATTAAGGGTGAGTCTTAGGCATCGCTTTAGATGTGAGGTATTGTCAGACTTGGATTGGACTGGACAGTTGAACGCTAACAAGTAAACTTTTTTTTTGGACATGTTTATGGGCTGAACGATCTGACCACCAGTAAAATTATGGACTGGTTGGCTTTGGGATTTTACACCTCATCTAAGCCTAACCACACTGACGTAATCCTTAACATCTCCTATTTCTTAAAAAAAAAAAAAAATCCTATTCTATTAGGAAATTCAAATCCATTACCGGCCCGTTTGATTCACTGGAATAGGGGTCTGAAATCAGAATCAGAATATACTATTCCAATTCCAATTGTTTGGTTGGACGGAATCAGAATCTCATTCCAATTCCTTGTAGAATGGTATTCCCCCATTTGAGGGAATAGCCATTCCCTCCTCCCATGGGAATAAAATCTCATCCCAATTGATTTCAATTCCCATTCCGATTCATGTCTGAACCAAACAGATTATAGAAATTGATCATTCCGATTCTGATTCCAATTCCAGTTATAAACCAAACCGACGCTAAAAGATGTTAAAAGAAGAGGAGTGAGGTTCTAAAATTCATTAGTTTTATTAATTCAACTTTTTTTTCTCAAAAATTAACCCAAGCAGTGGAATCGTATTCTGGAATCTGCCCACTCAATTCTTAAATCTGAAGAAAATATCCTCTTAAAACGTCTCTGTTCTAGTTTGCTGCAGACTGCATCGCTGAGGTGGGTAAAAGGTAAACCCAGATGCAGGGAGTCACCTCGTACTTATATGAGAATGGGACCCCTTGAAGATGATAGAATTGGGTCCATACAATTTGTCTAAGCAAAATGAATATAGTGGTGAAATTTGATTGCTCTAGTGGCTCAAGAAATTAAAAGATGATAAATATCTCAAAAAACAAGACAAAACTTGTTAGCAACTTAGCTGGAAGCCTGGAACTTGGCTGAGAGGTAAGACACCTCTACCAAATATTATAACAGAACCATACTTATCCAACACTGCAGATTCTGCTAGTACCTTACAAATTGTCGTTTATCATCTTCACAGTTCTTCCTTCCATAAGGGTTGGTTTCACTGAACCCACTTCGGCTCCCTTCAATTCTATGCATCTTCTTTCTAAACTTTGATGCACTACTGTCTATGTTAAGATTTACTTTTGAAGGACAAGAAAAGCCAAATGAAGCAGCAACAGCCTGTCAATCATGATCCAACAGCATGCAAGAATTTATTATATGCTCATATATATAGTCCTTGGAAGATGTATTTTTAGGTATGTACCTGAAGATCAAGGCGGTGGACATTGAAAACATCCTTCATAGAATGCGAATTGTATGCTAATATATATGATTTGTATGCATCCTTAGCAGACTGGTGCAGGTAATGGTTGTTTGTTACTAGATTCTCCTGCATCAATTCCCAGATCAACTGCAATCCCTCCACTTTATTGCTAACTACCAAAGAATTATCAAACATATAAGAAGCAGGAGAATACCAGGGCAGACTGCATGTTTGCCAGCTTCTTTTCATCATAATCATACTCTTCAATTGGTACCTTAGCTGACTGCAATGAATTAAGAAAAAAAGAAGAAGAAAAGAATAAGATCATACTAAGATCTGTCCATCAAATTCATCACCCCATCCCTAAAATAAAGCAAGCAACGGGGAAGGTAGTTTTCTTGTTTATGAAAATTGCTAAACCTTAAGATAACGAAGAATTTGCAACTCCTCTGGTATCAGGAAGAGCAAGCCATGACCTTCTGCACCTTCTCCACGGGCTGTACGGCCAACCCGGGCAATATATTCCTGAAAGTAGTAATAACAAAGTTTTAAAAGAAATAGTTACCCAAGAATGCAGACAATACAAACAAATTAGAACATGTTGACAGAGAATGAAGGTACCCTAACGTCATCTGGAGGATCATACTGCACAATCCAGTCCTATGAAATAGGCAAAGAAAAAAGAAAGGGCAAGGAAATCAAGGTGAGCATTCTGGATCATATGCACAAGAATGGTAATCACAGAATATAATTGCCAAGATATAGAAGAAAGAGGTATACCACAGCAGGAATATCAAGCCCACGAGCTGCTACATTAGTGCACAACAAGATTCCCTTCTCTGTGTTGCAGAAATCAAAAAAGGTGGATGTCCTTCTTGTTTGCTTTTGTTGTCCATGGATATCAAAGCAATCCATCTTAATGTATTTGAGAAGGCCTGAGTGAAATTTGACCGAGTTACATGAGGAGAAGAACACCATCACTTTCTTTGACAGGTTTCTCTTCAAGAAAGAATAGAGAACAATAAATCTCTTAGCACTTGGCACGACACAATAGCCTTCATGCAGTCCATCATTAGTGACCTACATTTCCTACATTCATATTAGCTTCCACTAATAGTTGGGATGAAGGAAACCATTGTGGCTGTTTGTTTACCTTTGACCTCCCATCATCCACGCCAATATACACTGGAGTTGTGTGAAATGACACCCGTGCAAGATCTTCAACCTGAAGTAATAAATTATTCTTCCCTGAGATTACTAGGACAGGCAGAACAAATCATGAAAATTTTGCATGCAAAATACAAACCTTTGTAGTCTGAGTAGCAGAGAAAAGAGCTGTTTGCCTCTCCTGGCATATTACAAATATTTCAATTAGATCACTATGAACAAGAAATGAACAAGAATACAATTCCATCTCATTTCAATCAGACCGAGATGCAATTAATATAATAGTCATAAGTACAGAATAGATGTCAGTATATATTGCTGAGCACCTATCATTTTATGCTATCAGGCATATCTCAAGTTTTTTCTATTGTTCCTTTCACTTACCTGATCAGAACCAAATAGAAAATGATTCATTAAAAACATAGAAGGTAATATGGATGACTAGCCCATTGAAAACCATTTAGAGTGTGCTAATCTCTACACCCAAAACAAATGGTTAGTTAAGACAAGTCCTTCCAGTTACACCTAGAAAAATCTGTTAAAGTGAATGCTCTATCCATAAGAAATGAGATAGCATTGGCACAAAGATGCAGGGATAGGCTCAAACCCCCCCCNCCCCCTTTAAAGATACTTGCATTCCTCTTTTTATGAACATCCCTACAAACAGCAAGAGGAATCATCATTTAAAAGGTCCTATAACCAACAGAAGATAAGGTCAAGAGAGCATATTCCTACCAGGATATCAAAAAGAAAACAGAGAAAACTACAAATATACAAGACTCATGGAAGAAAAGAAACAAGTGAAACACTGCCTCCTCTGACTTGTACATGGTGCATCCAACAGAAACAAGTGAAACACTCCAAATATACAACTATAAGAGCCTTAGCAGAGAATGTGTAAAACAAAAGCCTCTAAACTTGGAGGAATTTGAAGGCCCCAGACACAAGCAGCACCAACCACTTCTGTTGTCTCTTGAGAATGAGCCAGATAGAAGGATCTCATAGAATTTTCCTTTTGCATGTGCTCTACAGATAACCTTGGTATTACTGATTCAGAAAAATAATCATGCTCTCCAGATTCTAGATTTTCTTTATATTATAAGATCAGAAACCAATCCCAGAGGATAAAGAATTAGTAATGAATAACAACCAATGTCTTAGCAGCAGAAACCAGGGGCATGAGTAATCATTAACCTTTTTTGTACAGAACAATTGAAAAAAAAAAACTTTTTGAAACTAAAATTTGAGTACATTATGTAAATATTAAATGATCTATTGTTAAAAAAGAAAATGAAATTACTCCAACGAAAGTTGAATAACTAGGTAGTCCAAGTTTCACAATTATTATTTTATTTCAGTATTTCGAAGCAATAATTCCAGTTTGTTAAGATCTAGTCATAATTTCTAGGAAATGCCACTTATTTTTGTCAGTCTGCATTAGTCAAAGTTAAAAAGGGAAGGAAATTAGGCACTGCATCAAAACTTCCCTCTCAATATACCTAATTAAGTTTTCAAAATAATACTTACTAAAAAATTATTTACCTTTGGTAGAATTTTAATAATATTCCTCATGTCATCCTCGAAGTTTGCTTCCAATATTTTGTCAGCTTCATCAATAATAAGGCACTGCACATAAAATAGAGCATTTGTGCAATCACACACGGAAAACAATGAACTTCAAAGTTAGAAATAAGTTTTGTTATTAATTCAAATAAAGAAATAAAAGTGTGTGCAGAACTAAAAGTATTGTATATATGGAATAGGTTTACTAGTTAGGTCATTTCAGAGAAGTCTGGATAACACAGATATCATCCACTTGAGCATGGTTGGGGGCTTCAAATGGTCCCATATGTTCCCCTCTCCACCCCATTAATGTTTCATCCGGAAACCATCAGAACATGTCCACAAAAAGCCCCTCTCTATAGGAATATTTTTAATTAAGAAACTTAAAACTCTGGACATCCGATGTCACTAAAAACTCCCAAATACAAGGTCACATTTGAAGCTGATATGGATTATGAGATTGAAGATCCCATAAGATGGATGGTTGGGATTAGCTACATCATTGCTCCATGTGGCGCAGTCACGCACGTGTGCACACACAGAGGAAGGTGGTCAAATGAATAGTTCTTGATCTGGAGCTAGAAAGGGTAGTAGGGTACCCCATAATTCACCATCTGTATCACATCATAATCAAGATTGCAGTCTCACACAATGATATAACAACTACCTACTACCTTATAATATTTAGTCATAACTTTGTAGATATAAAACAAGTAGAATTCAATAGTGGAAAAGATGTATTATATATAATGCAACCCCTCTCTGAGTCCTATATGCATAACTTGAAATGAACTTACAATGTAGATTTGATTAAATAAGGATCTTAAAGTAATTCAATTGCATCTTTATCTAAAGGCCATTAACCAATGTTGGTCCCAGTTATCTGGGGTTTTGGGAGGGGTAGACTTGGATAATCAATCACATATTTTTTACACAAAGTGGCTGCTCTCACACTAAAACCTGTGTTCTCATGCTTGCCAGCCCGAGATTTATTGCATCTTTATCTCTCCAACATTATTCAAATCCACCCATTTGAAACATAACCTATACATTCCTAATGATGTTTTATCTACCATAATGAGATTTCATTCACCGACATCCAGCAAGTAGCAATCAATATAGCTTGTCTCCTATCCTCTACCAAATTTCCTCTACTCAAAACCCATCAAAACGAGAAATAGGAACTTTCGAATAATTTAAAAGTCAGAAAGAGGGAAAGGAATCAGAAATGCAACACTGGGTGGGGGAAGGACTAAAAATAAACATGAATGAAGTAATACCAAAGGAAGAAAGGATCATTTACCATCAAGTTTTTGTATATGAAGCCTTTGGTATTTTGAAGATGATCTAGAAGTCTCCCAGGGGTTGCTACTAAAATATTTACCCCTTTTACAAGGCGTTCTGCTTCTCCCCTTCTAGATGCACCACCGATAATCAATCCCAGAGTTTGTGTGTGGTACTTAAGAAGTAGCTTTGCAACAGCATGTGTCTGTACTATATCAATGGAAGATTAGTCTTCAAATGGAACTCCTTGTATATAAAATGCTGCTAAAACTGTACAGTACTTGAATGCTGCTAGTTAGAACTTACAAGTGAAAATGCTAAAATTATCTCAAGATGAGAAAAGCCTTTAGGTGAGAATTTTTTCTTGAATTATGAGAGGCAATCTAAATAATACCTAACTAGTTAATTGAATAAACGATAAGGTTTGAAAAACATGTTGATGCGTTTATAAATTAAAGAGTTCAAGAATAATTAGAGGATGCAGGGAACTTTCTTTTCCATCAAAATAAAAACCTTTCCGAAGGACCATAAGTAGATGGAAATAAGATTAGACATCTTTATATGAGAGGAATGGAAAATCTATGAGATGAAAAACAGCACATTAACAACTTGACTAAGGATTGGTTTCAAAGAAAAAAATAATTAAACAATGCTGTAAGAAGAGAAAAATGAGTCAAACACAGTTTGTGGATATGTGGGATAAGAACCCAGAAATATATGCTTGAAAGCTTTAACTAACAAAATTCCCCATAAGCAAGCAGTAGTGTTAAACTAGGAAAATAATTTTCCATTGAGAAAATTCTTGTTCTTCAGAAATTTTGAGAAGAATGGCAATGATTCTACCTGTATGGCAAGCTCCCTTGTTGGGCAAATGATAACAACACCTGTTCCATTACGATGAGAAAAACAGATGTGATATAACAGTTCAACGGCTGGTACTAGAAAAGACAGGGTCTTCCCAGAACCGGTTCTTGCAGCTCCAAGAACATCTTTGCCTTCCAAAAGTGGTGGGATAGCTCTAGCTTGAATCTGTAGTTGTAAAGAGAAATGAATAGTGAGAAAGCAGTTCTTAGAGGAGATCTTTACAGATGATGATAGAACTGCCAAAATCTTAGGATACTTATTTTAATTTTTTTTTTGAATGCTTTCATGATTGAAATGAAATATTAAAATGATATGAGATACTAGATAACTGAAGGATATGAAAAAACTAAGACAGTCAAACAAAAATTTGTGCAGCAAGCATGTAACCCCATATGAGATTGGGATAGTTTCTCTTGACAATCAATATCTATGGTATTTTTGCAAATAATTATCAGCCTACAGGTTTCCTTACCTATGAATATGATATCGAATAATGATATAGAAAAAAAGAGAGAAGTTGATCTGTGACCCAACATTCGTAGAAAACCAACAAGTTGAGAATTGATTTTCAATCATGTGCATGCTAAGCAACCTGTGCATCATTTCAATTAAGACTTTCAGTTGAAAGGGAAACCTACAAGAGTACAACAATGTTCACTACTGAAGTTTTAATTCCAACAACTTGGACCTAGGTCATTGTGATATCCAGAACACTTCATCTGCATAGATGTTTGGTGCATCTATAGAGATCTGATCCAAGATGTCTTATTGAATTGTCCATTCTGTGTGTCATTCGATGCCAGTAGATCAATTCACAAGGAAGATGGGCTTCAGGGTAACCGTACCAAATTCTTGCATATTAGAACAGAGTGTTGAGAAATATTGGTCCAAAAGCTGCTGAACAAGATTGTAGAATCAAAGTTATTTCCTCTTTTTTTGTGGATTAACCAACTTTTTGTGTCAAGTAGAAATTAGGAGTCAACTAACAAAAAGGTTCAGAAAATTTACTTGTCCATGGTAGTTAATGACGCTTCTTTGTCAACCAGAAAAAATTCACAAGTGGTGCAGCAAAATTTTTAACTCTTAAAGCCTCGAATATCATCCGAATGCAAACATATACGAAAACAAAAGTCTAGATTAAGAAAAGTTACAGAAAAAATCCAGAGACTATGGAACGGTAAAGGTTGGACTATGAAAGAGACAAGAGTTGTGTTGAAGAAAGCATGGGCTAATGTTCAAATCGAACTCCAAGTTCATGTATCTTCTCTGTTCAACAAAAACTTAAAGTTCACATAATTGAGTTGGGTATTGCACGATTAAATTGTGCTCTTTTGTTTATTTATACAATTTAATTCGCATATTGAAAGCTCAGTAAATGGTTCGACCTGAACCGATGGTGAGACGTCCCAGGACATCGAACCGTAATGAAGTTATAAAGATAAAAAAAAAAAAAATCGCTACCTCAGTCATCTTCTCAAATCCCATGTCTTGAATAGCTTTCATGGTCGGTTCTGAGAGGCCCAACCGAGAGAAAGACTCATTGCTCATGATTCCTGATCCACTCTGCAACTTCTTCTTATTCTTCTTCGCCGTCGCGCCGACCGTACCTTTCTCTTCGCCTTCTTCTCCATCCTGCACCAAGTCTCGGCTACTCCTATCTGAGTTCTCCGCCTCTTTATCTTCTGCTTCTGCCTTTGCAGTGTCTTCTTCGTTAGACCTCTTTCTCTTTCTATATCTCTTATTCTCTTCGTTTTCGCTTTGACTTCCCCCTGTTGAATCCATTCTGAGCACTGTGCGTTAGCTTTGCTTCCGTTGAAGCGAAAGGAGATCAAAAGGGTCAGTTCACAAAAGCAGAAGGAAAGGCCGTTAATTTCGTTTTTTTCTATAGGGTTTTCGGCTCTGTTCCCGCGTTTATACTTGTTGGAGGTCCTAAGGACCGTCTACCAGAGTTTAACGTCAACCACGTGTACAATTAGGAATTTTAATCAGACGGTGAGACCGGTCCCAGCAGGCAGCAGTCACGAATCATTGTACTTGCACGTGAGAATGCAAATAAAATAGGGGCACGGGAAGGGCATCATTCCCATTCAAAAGACAAAAAAAGCCCTGGTTATGAAGAGAAAAATGGTGCTACACGAGTGTTCTTTTGTCTTTTAACACATGCACTTGGGCCAAAACCAATTTGCTAAACTCATTCCCATTACAGCACTTCGAGTAAATCATGGCTGGGCCAGGCCAGGTCCGGGCCTATAATTTTAAATATAAAACAATAAGTAAATGATATGTAACAAATAAAATTTATGTTAAAATTTACATAACAAAAAATATTATATAATATGTATTATATTTGTCATATTATAATATTTATATATAATATGGGCCTAAAGTATTGGGTCCAGGCCCAAGGCTAGGCTGGGCTGGCTAAATTTAATCACCCCTAGTTGTTGAGATTTCAATGGTGTGTGGTTAGTGCCCTTAGTTAGTGGGTAGGTTTTTTATTTTCTTTGTGTGTTGTAGTGGTATGGTTTTTCTTTTAGGTTGAATTCATAGTCTTTTACAGAAAAAAGTCAAAAACAAATCAATAAAATTCATCAAACCAGTTTATAGCGCACACATGCGCAAAGAACTTTTAAGTTTAGTTTGGAAAGCCTTAGATTTTGTATGTATTTGTATTGTACATATTTATATTTGTATTCTTTCTAAATTGAACCAAAAGCTCAGCTTGGAAAGTGTGTAAACAATGCAAAGCCTTGTATTTTATTTTGTGTTTTTAAATTTATATTTGCGCCGTGCATATTTCTATTTGTACTCTTCCTAAACTGAGTCATAAATACAAATATATACAATGCAAAGCTTTATATACTGTATTTCGAGATCTTGTATTTGCACTCTTTCCAAACTAAATCTAAGTTCAGGTGCTAATGAGCTTGTTAGCTTGGGGAGAGCCCCATTTGTTTTCTATCTCCAATACTTGATGAAAAAAAAATCCAACATACATTGTCAGATATCTAAAATAATCCCATTTTATAGTTGTTTTATGCTTAAAAAATTTCCAACAGGTTATATTATATTAATTATGAAAATCCTCAGTGAATCCTCAGATGGTTTGGATTGGTTAAATATATATATATATATATATATATATATATATATATATCCATGTGACAGAAATAGGTGGTTTCATTAAGGTTTTAAAAATCAACCCGAAATAAAACTAGTTTGGCCACTGGTTTCTACTTCAACAGTTCAACTGTATGGTTTGAAGAAAACAATCCTTTACGATATGAAATATTAAAAAATAAAAATTAGTTAAAATATTAAAAAAAAAAACATTGTTTGAGATAAATACTTTAACAGTTCAACCATCTAAGTCAGTGATTTACTGAATGTTTGACATGTGTCAATGGTGTTTTTAGAAGATTCCAGCTTAAGAGGAGAATGGAATCACCTAGTGATTAGTTCCTGAGTCAAATGGTTCAACCGCCTAGATTAAGGACGTGAAATCAATTAACAAATTCCTCTTGGCATTGTTCTAACTTCTAAGCCTAAAATAGAAATTGCAAGTAGTCCCCCCTATATTATAATCTTCTAAAAAAACCATGAAAAAGCAATACAAATTTTATGGACAATAAAAATAGAGCTTAAAGTTGTAGTTTTACATTTGAGTGATTGATAAGAAGGACAAATTTAGAAAATAAATCAATTTCAGAAAAGAGAATAGAAGAGTTTGGGGCAATAATTCATATGAAGAGAAAAATTGGAAAACAAACATTTTTGTTAGAAGTAATTGCATGGGTATTTTGGATATTTCCATGCCTCTCTTTAAAAGATTCTATCAAAGGGGGTCTACTTTTGCAACTATGTCAAAAAGTTTAAGGGAGGTGATTGCAATTACCAATCTTCAGGAAATGTTTCATTAACAACCAGAAACTTAAGGGGAGGTTTCAGCAGTTTACCCCTTCTTTTTAAAAAAAGAAAAATTAGGATGGAAGTCATTTTCTTGGGGTGAGTATGCATGAATGCTCATAATATGGCCATATGATAATTATGTTTCTATAGTTTCAGTGGCCTTCACTTTTTAAGACTAAGGGTCCGTTTGGTTTGTAGGAATAGAGGTTTGGAACCAAAATCGTAAATCCATTTGAATTCTAATAATTTGGTTGAATAGAATCAGAATCCCATTTTTATTTCCGATGGAATGTCTTTCTCCCATTTGAGGGAATGGCCATTCCTTCACCCTCCCATGGGAATAAAATCCCATTTCAACTGATTCTAATTTCAAATCCGATTCTTGTGTGAATCAAATAGATTATGGAAATAAACCATTCTGATTCTGACTATGAGAAGTTTTAATTCTGATTTCAACTACAAACCAAATGGACCCTAAGACGTGTCGTGTTTCTTAGTTAAACCACACATACAACCCATATTAACCATTCTCCACTTGTAACTCTAGTAGTATATAAATATGAACATAAACAATGGGTTACGTTTAGCGGATGATTAAATCGAAATTTGGGTCAGAGAAGTTTTGAAGGTGCAATTTAATTCAAATTGGACGGAAAATTTGCTAAATTTTCAATGGACCTTAATCCCTAATGACCCTAGCTCAAATCGGATGTAGCCCTAAGAAGTTACCTGTCATGAATTTGGTTGGAACTGGCCGGATCTATAGTTATAATTGACTTTGTGATCATCTACCCACTTACAATCATTCAAAATCCAAACCCATCCATATACTTAGTAGATTGTTTATGGGTAGACAACCTCTTGAGTTTAGGTTATAATCATTCAAATCTCAATATTTTCTTTTTAATTTTTTACTTCTTTTTGAGCGTTAAGGCGTAATCAAACATGATGAAAAAGACGTCAAATGTTTGATGTATTGTAATTTTAGTATAATCCACATCTAAATTGGTATATTGCTCTCATAATTCAAAAATGGTTATTGGACCTGTTCACGGGCGGGCTTTTGTAATTACAGAATTTGTTCAGCCCAAGCCCAAGTTTGATCCTGCAGAAAAATTTGTAAATGTCAAGAATGGGATTCGAACCCATGCCCTTTCGGACCAGTACCTGAAACTGGCGCCTTAGACCAACTCGGCCATCTTGACTTTGTTATCAAGTTTACATGGATGATTAAAAAAATTAAGAATTAGGTTAGAAATCAGATCATGTAAAAGACATAGGATAAATGAATAAAATGAGAAAAAAATTGAGATGACTTAGTAATATGCATAAATACCTATTAGTAAAGGTGATATGTTCAAAGTTGAAGGACTTGAAGAACTAGGGACGAACAAAAAAAAAAAAATATTTGGGTGTTAAAGTAACAAGAAGGGATTTAAGCATTATGGATATGACACAACAAAACAAAATGATAAAACGGGATTCACCTATAAGTTAATGATGGATATGATGACATAACAAAACAAAATGATAAAACGGGATTCATATAGCTGAATTCATTTAGTTGGGATACGGCTTAGATGATGATAATGACAAAGGTTTAGATGGTGATGATGAAGATGAGGATGAATGCCAGTTTCATCTAACCACATGTCTGATCGGATGGCTTAACCAATCATCCATTCGGATCAGCGGTTTAATGGTTTTTTGAGAAAATCCTGGCCAAATACGAACAAGTGACTGGTTCTTAAATTGAATGGTTTGACTACTCTAATCAATGAGGTTTTTTAGGGCAAATTTCTTTAAGTATCTTTAAGGTTTAGCTAGTTGACTAACTCTACCCCTACTGTTTGACTATTGTCTGTGGTACTACTATTTCTAATAATTGACTAAATCTACTTCAGTTGCTAACGTCAGTTAACCTTCTGTCAAAATCAGTACACACATGACACCAAATGATGAATAAATATTTTAAAAACCCAATACTATCCTCTATCCCTCTTGTCTTCAAGGAAGCAGGAAGGAGCTAGCCCACCTGCGAAGCAAGTCAATGTCTTCCCCCTCTCCATTCTTATCGATGCGGAGGCACTATGGCAATGAAGAAGGAATTCTGATCGGTTTGGCAATGGAGTATGAAAACATCTGCTTTGAAATTTGAAGGCGATTCTGAGACAATTATTAAAAGTATGTTAAGCAATGCACAATCACTCCTCATTCCTCATTTGAAAGCTACTAGCATCCTCGAAGACTACAGGCAATTAAAGATATAACTCCTTGTTTTCAATTGCTTTTATTCCCGGATCTTGTAACCCAATAGCTCACTAATTGGCAAAGCTAGAGGTAAGGTTTGGTGAAAATAATGCCTGGGATAGCAACAACTGTTGCCTACTTGCCTCACACAGTTGGTGAGATTGTTGCCTCGTGGAGAGATGGCTGAGAGGTTGTTGCCTATGGAACGGGATCTGCTCCTCACACTTGGGCGCCTCACATGCATATCCACCTGCATTGGGAACATCTCCCCAGAAAAATAATTTATAAATACGGAAGATGTTCCCAATGCATGGTGGGATGTGCGAGTGAGGCGCCCTTTGCCTACAGTTTTGGATTTGAGATTGTGAACAGAGAGTATGGAAACCTTCTGCCGGCCCCAGCTCATCCCTGGATAACACAACCGTCCTCATCGATGCCTCCACCGCCCGTTGTATCTCTTACTTCCAATTCATCCGCCAGGTCGAAACCTTAGCTGCCTCCCTGCAATCTACAATCAGTCTCTCCAGGGGTGATGTCGCTTCATCCTCTCCCCGTCAAGTCAATCACAATCATCTACTTCTTTCTTTTCTCCCTCGGGGTCTTCACCTCTCCCGCCTATCCGAAATTTCCCGCCAAATCGATCTTAGCATATTAGTAGTCGCCTTCGCCACCTCCGCCACCGCTCAAAAGCTTTCCA